CACACACACACACACACACACACACACACACACACACACACACACACACACACACACAGGTCACAGAGACACACACAACATAATGCACACACTCACATAATATACACTCGCTCATACACACTCTCACACTGCCCCCTCGTGGACACAGCCCTTAACAACACACACACACACACACACTAGCACTATGCACTCACTGCCCTCTAGAGGACACAGCCACATATGGGTAATGATTATTAGCTAACTCAGCTGCTGTAACCTAGAGGCGAGGAGAAAATGCTAATAAATGTTAAAGCTAATGTTAAAGCTAATGTTAAAGCTAATGTTAAAGCTAATGTTAACCCTAATGTTAAAGCTAATGTTAAAGCTAATGTTAAAGCTAATGTTAAACATTATTATTTATACACAGACTGCTCTTTATGTCATCTAGAAAACAGTCAATTACAGAAAGAAAGACTCCGGCCAGATGTTCACAGACTGGGTCACATTTGCAGCATTATTAAGCAGTTAAGCTAAATCTTGTTGATGATGAGTACTGTCATGACCATGTCTGCTTCAGGAGAGACTCGGGGTATGAAGAACTGTCTGTGCTTTGATGTTTGCGAGCTCTGTCATTGCGGGAATGCTGCTCTCCAGAGGCGTGTTGTCCCACAGACCCGCATGGGCCACAGAGAACGCTCTCCAGATCGTGCAGTAGCTTAATAATCATTTCTAACACTCTGCAGCAGGTATCTGCTTCACTCTCTGCGGTACTTTAGCACTCGCTTGCGTTTAAACTGTAAGACAAACTAGTGATGTGCGGATGGATACTGAAATATCAACATCTCCAATACCAGCTTTGTATGTGTTAGAATCGATCATCTCATCAAAATATCAATATTTCAGTCATTTTGAGCAAATATTTAGTTTATTGGAAGTAGAAACACAGCGGAAAGTAACCACAATTACCATAGTTTCTCTGAATAATGCCAACTTAGTCTGAACTACTTGTTCCTCCCCCTGCCAAGTGCGTAATATGGCACTATACAGCAGCAGAGCACGCTAGCTAGCCACTCAGTCCGCTGGGGTGACGGTCGCACACGTTCAGTCAGGCTGTCATTGGATGTGGTCATACGTGTGGAGCTACTTCACTTTCTTAAACTCAAATGAAAGGGATTGTGACACATGTAGGGAAACAGCGAGGTAATACCACAAACCTAATCCAACATTGACACATAAATCACACGACAGAGTATGACTGCGCCATGATGACTAGACGGCCAGTGGAGGAGGAATGGAGAGGCACAGGTGCTGTCAGGGCGAGACAGACGTGGCTTTCTGAGTGCAGCAGGCAGGTACAGAGAGGACATGTGCTGATGTGGCTGTGTTTTGGGGGCTCGGGTTTTTGTGATGATGAGGGGTGGGGGTAAGGGTGGGGGTGAGGGTGGGGGTGGGTTACCTGGATAAGTATCTGCCACTACTTTCTGTCAAGACTCGACCGACTCTGCTTAGAAGACCCGCCCTCCTCCCTGGACAAAGACCAATCAAACTAACCATGATGTCCAGTATTACCCAATCAAAAGCAGCACATGATGCATCCACACAGCAGGAGTGTGAGAGGATTCGCATGAAAAGCTGCTCTGTATTTTAATAGATGAGTGGCAACCCTGTGTGTGTATGTGTGTGTGTGTGTGTGTGTGTGTCCCTGTGTGTGTGCGCGTGTGTATGTGTGTGTGTCCCTGTGTGTGTGTGTGTGTGTCC